TATATTTAATATACTGGGGCAATAATTCAGGCTTAATGTAGGCATTTGGTAGGTGTTGAGGTACTCAGCGCAGTACTGCCCCCTCTGTTCCTGCCATAGGGGTGCCCTCTAAAGTCCTGGAGTCCTATTAAAACAGGTGAACTTCGGTCAGCCTCACTCAGTCCTGAGCCTGGCTCCCATCTTCTCGAATGAAAAGACCACTTCATCAGTGCCTAAGCCCACGCAGCACCCCGCTTCTGGTTCCACCAGAGGCACCACTCCACCCTCCAAAGAAAGGGAGGAATAGACCCAAGTTTGAGATGGGAGAAGACAGGAGGCCTGAGGAAATCTGAAACTCGAAATTGTTCAAAACCAGCGTGAGAGGCAATGCACAGGTCCTCCAGGGTGCACGCTCTACCTACGGTATCCTTGTTGGTCACGGGAATGCAGCAGCACACGTATACCCCATACTTGCTAGAGTCGTGAGGATGGCCTTGACTTCAGGAGCTGTAGAATTTGTCAACTCGGTGAGCAATATATAAGATGAAATTACACACTGACTGAGATGAGAGATGTTAATTAAAACCTGAAAAGAAGCGGACCGTGTTGGGAGCAGGGAACTTCAGAAAGGCAAAACTCCCCAATGGCATAATGGTATTGATAAAGAGCAGAAGGCATTCTTGTTATACACAAAGAAGCATTGGGGGGCTGAGAAGATGGCTCAGCAGGTAAAGGCGCTTGCCACACAGGCCTAACCACCCAAGTTCAATTCCCAGAAGCCATGTAAAAGTGGAAGGAAAGGACGGGCTCCATGGAGTTGTCCCCCGACCTCCACATGTTCTGTGGCCTGTGCACCCGTGCACATGCAAACATGCAATAAGAGATAAGTAGAGAAGAAATTGATAAATAAATAAACTTAATTTCTTGAAAGAGCCATAGAGTACGGTGACTCCCTGGTACATGATGAGAGTCTGTGGGGGGTTACAGTACACGAGGCGAAAGGGTTGAGTGTGATTTTCGGAAATGCGCCAGAAGGGAAAACAGGCTCTGCTGGCGGCAGCACGGTCAGGGTGGGCGCTTTGGCTTGCATCACTCTTCTTTGTGAGCCCAACCTGCCTCCTGTCTTGGGTCATAAGAGAGCCAGGAGGGAAGAGTGCAAAGCCATCCCCACAAAGAAAGCACTGTGAAACACGGAGGTCTTTGTCGTCTGCAGCAAGGGCAACAGTCCCCACTGTGCGTGGAGAGAAGAACGGTGGAACTAGAAACTCTGAGCAGTCCCGCTTGGAGTTAGACAGACTGGCTAGTGGGGCCCAGCTCCGTATGTCAGTACCTAATTGGCTGACTTCTTTTAATTTATTTATACTGCTCTCTGATCCTAACAAAGTTGTCCAGCCAGCCCCAGAGCAGTGGACGGAGATGGCACGAACCCACCCTCTCCCCCCAGAATTATTTCCCTTTCGTTGGTTATAAATACCACTGCCTGGTTGTGGCTGACACGCCGTATGGCCCGTAAGGCCGTATGCAAGCGGAGGCTGGAGTCCTGATGCTCAGTAGGAAAGGACAAGGGCTTGGAGTGCTGCAGAGGACACAGCAGAGCCGGTGACAGTGGCCTTGTCCAGAGTAGTGCCTGGGAGCGTTCTTATCTCTCTCTGGCAGGAGCTGCCGTGGGCTTCCTGTGGGAAACCAGGGGCAAGCTCCGCTTTCCTCTTGTTGTTCGCCTTCCGCCTCCCTCAAGACTGTTCCCAGCACCGTGGTTATCTTTGTGTCTTCAAACATGGCACAATCTACTTCCTCAAGAGCTTGACGTATTCTTAAGACTTGGGCAAGCACCCCTCCCCCCAAGTCTCTTTTCAAGTGGGGTTATAGAGGCAGGTCCTCATTGACATTCTATTTTTATGGTTCAATGACAAAGAGTGAAAAATAATAGCCCCTAAATTAGAAAAAAAAGCCACAGAACCTGTCCTTTTCATTGGAAGGACCTGGCAAGCAAGTGAAGTCTACAGTTTCCACAGTAGGGCTTGAGTCTTGGTGAATGTCCTCCGATCAAGGATAGCAGTGGGGGAAGGGGTTTGGAGGCCAGTGGCCCCAAACGAGCCCCGAGCCCCTTGGGAAATGACCAGGCTTGCTTTACTCAAACATATTTCTTTGCATTTCCTGAAGATGAAGTGTAAGAAGTTTTAAGACTTTGGAAAAAGCCTCCCCTCGTTCTTTTCAGCACTTTGAGAGGCAAAAAAAGGTGCCCGAAGCCTTCTCTTCCAGTCAGTGGAGAACCTGAGTGAGTGTGCATGTGGGTGTGTGACCCAGTGTGCAGGAGTGCATGCACAGATTGCACGAGCTCCCGTAGGCACTGAGGGCGCGGTAAGGGTGCGCAGTCACTAACAGTTCAGATACCAGTCCTGAAGCCTAAAACTCAGAATGTTGATCACCCAAACAAGAGGAAAGTGACATTTACATAATCATCTTTGAACCCGATTGTTAAAAGATTTTCGCCAGGCGCTGGTGGTGCACACCATTAATCCCAGCACTCGGGAGGCAGAGGCAGGTGGATCTCTGTGAGTTCGAGGCCAGCCTGGTCTACTGAGTGAGTTCCAGGAAAGGCTCCAAAGCTACAGAGAAACCCTGTCTCAAAATAAAAATAAAAAAAAAGAGTTCTAATAGAATGAGAAAATGTGTATTTTCTCCTTGGTTCTGTTTCATTATACTAATCAATAAGAGCAAAAATGTTCACTTCTGTTACTTGACGATTACAAAACCAGTTAGCAGAAACCTCAGAAGTGCCCCAAGGAAGGATCAGCCCTTGTTCTTTTTTATTTTAAATCTTCTCATTTAACTATAAGGCAGTTTTGGTGGTGGTGGTGGGAACTGAGCTTAGAAATTTGGAGAGCTTTGACATATGGACCAGATACAGGCATTCGATTATTGAATCTAGTTATCAAAGTGGCATTGTGGCTGTAATAAAAAATGTGCATATTATTTAGCATGTATGTCTGTCTTTGAAAACTGGGCAGTAGGGGACAAGGGCACAGCTCAGTGGTAGAACACTCAGGTTGCCTGAGGCCAGGGTTCCATCCTTAGGAACACGCATGCACACACACACACACACACACACACACACACTCCACATAACCAAGTCTTCATGTTGGGCTAGGCTAGGGACTCAGAGGCTGGGGACTTAGAAGCAGGAGAGTACAAAACAAGAGACTATTATGGGTCATACACTGGAAGTGGCAAGCCTAAACCAGCAGATACTAACCTTCTCAACTTCCCAGCTCAAGGCCCCCGAAGGCTCCCCTGCCCTCTCCAGTCTGTCTCCTCTCCAGCCTGTCTCTCTCACTTGCTCTATATTCTTTTTTATAATTAATTAATTTATTTTATGTGCATTGGTATTTTACTATGGGTGTTGGGTCCTCTGGCACTGGCGTCACAGACAGTTGTGAGCTGCCATGGGTGTGCTGGGAATTGAACCCGGGTCCTTTGGAAGAGCAGTCAGTGCTCTTAACCACTGAGCCATCTCTCCTGCCCCTACTGCCCTACTTTTATTTCAGTAAGTCATCACTGCTCTGGGTTACTTAGGACCTGACATTCACTCCCTCTGGAGCCGGATTTAGAACTCTTCCTCCATTTGAGAGCCTCCAGGTTCTTTTACCTGAGTCTTGCTCAAATTGCGGCCAACAAGTTTTCTATTCCCCAAAAGTTCTAGACCAGCTGGTGAGAGCTCCACATGGTGATATATTATTTACGATTTATTAAAGCTTGCCTCAAGCTTTAGAGATCAAGCAGAGGTGGCACACACCTTTAGTCCCAGGACTCAGGGTTAAGAGGCAGATGATAGCTGTTAGTTCAAGGTCACCATGGCCTATACAAGAGTGAAGAGTAACAGAGCTCATGCCTTTGATCCCAGCACCTGGGATCACACTCCCTTAATCCCCAGCATTAGGGAGGTATACCAGACAGGAGCAAGACCTCAGAGCTGGTAGGCAGTCTCAGCATTCTGCAGCCGCACTGAGGAGAACATAGCAGTCTAAGGTTTGGTGGAGCCAGGATCGCCTTTCAGTCTGTGGTACAGGGAAGAGCTAGGGCCCAGGGCTCTGCTTTTCTGATCTTCATCTTGAAGCTTTAATAAATTATAAATAGTATATCACCACAGTACAAGGCAATGAAATGCTTGCAAAGCTCCTCGCCACCACCACCACACACACACACCTGCACTAAAGAAATGACTCAACAGTTGAGAGCACTGGCTGCTCTTGCAGAGGACCTGGGTTCAATTCCTAATACCCATAACCTCCACAACTCCAGGTCCAGGGATCTGATGCCCTCTTCTGGCCTCCATAGGCATAGGCATAGGCATACACATGTTGCACAGACACAAGTAGGCAAAACACCCATGCACATAAACTAAAAAGAAATGCATCCTATTTTAAAAATTAAAAGAGTTTGTAGACTTTAAAAGTCAACACTGTTACCACTTTCCTTTGATAATTAAACACTTGAAGCCCAAGGAGTTAAGGCCTTTCTGTGCTAACACCAAAGTTGGAGATAAATTTATTAAAGTAAATAAATGACGCCAAGATGTTTGTTTTCATGGACATTTACTTAGCTTGGGGTTGAAATAAAGATTGTCTACCTAACTAAATATTATGACTTAAAGTCACCCTGCATAGATGTGAAATGCCCTTATTTTCTCAAGGTTTCCATTCATTAATATAACACACGCCACCACCACCATTATCACCACCACCCACACATTCTAGGAGCTAACTAACTAAAATCCAGTCATTAAATGTCCTACCTTATGTGTTTTCTTTAACATTGAAATCAGGAGAAACGTTTGATAGCATGCTGTTGGAATGTCTCCCTACTTGGTAGATACAGTTGCTGTTTTTAGTTCCTAAATATGAGGAGACAGCCTAAGACAGAGTTTGTGGTTTTCTCCCCGAGGACTGTCTCCACCGTCTCCATCTCCCTGCTCTGTGCTAAGGCAGCATTGTGACATTGTGATGGCTTCCTATTTTCTATAGGTATGACTTCTGTTCCAAGAGTGAAGACTCCTCCATCCTGGATTCTGACAGCAATGTAGGAAACAGAATTGAGAGCATCACTCAGCGCATGATGGTCATAGAAGGAACCAACAAGGTACCATTTGTAGGAAACAGGTGTTGGGATAGTCTTAAAACATGCCCTCAAGCTCCTGCGCCTAGGGTAAAATGCAGAGAGAAAGAGAACCTCTTAGGTATGTCTTCATGAAGCCACACATTAAAGTTTGAGTTGCTATACTTCCCTGACTGAATTCTTCAGACTCCTGGTCCTCCTCTTTTTTCCTGTTCCCCCACGCATATATGTCTGTCTATCTGTCTGTCTGTCTGTCTGTCTGTGTGTGTGTGTGTGAGAGAGAGAGAGAGACAGAGACAGAGACAGAGAGAGACAGAGACAGAGAGATGTGTGTGTAGTACCCTAAGAGCCCAGAAGAAGGTGTCAGACTTCCCTGAAGCGAGAGGTACAGATGGTTGTAAGTGTCCTCTCTCATTCTCCCATGTGGGTGCTGGGAATGAGAACTGAACTTGGGTCCCTTGCATGAGCAATACGTGTCCTTAAGCACTGAGCTATTCCTCCAGCCTGGAGAACTCATTCTTAATGAACACCAAGACGGTGCATATCAGTGGCTCCCCATCCCAACAACACATGCAAGCCTCTACAAATTGCCATTACAGTCACATTATTGGGGTGGGACCTGGAGTCCACACAAGTTCTGGGATTAATGTAGGTGATTCTAGCCTATAACCGTGCCTAGGTTCTGCTGATTTACAGAAAGTAGGATCCTAGTAAATAAAAACTAGGATAAGGTTTCAACCCAAAGTTGAATATTTCTGTCTTACAAAATATCATCTGTCCTTCTGTCCCTGCCAGGTGCAGTCTAGGCTGGGCATGCAAACACACACCATCTGCGTATTTTCCCCTTCCACTCCTGCACCATTCACGTTCCGTGTTCCTCTCTGAGGGTAGGAATGTGCTGGAACCCTGGGAGTCGGGAAAGCCCCATGGGCTGCAAATCAAGAACTTTTCCCCTTGAAGTAGTGAAGGGTATGCTTAGAAACCAGCTGTTGTTGGGCATGGGATTAGCAATATTTTTTAAAAAGCAAACCAAATAACCCCTTGCCAGCATCTGTTTATACATGCTCGTCTTGATCCGAAGTAGAACTTGTCTCTATAAATCCCTGCCTGTTCAAGTAGGGTTGTACCTAAAATAACCATCTACTCTGCTGTGTCCTTAAGTTAGAGGATGGAAAGCACGTACACCATTCCCTATGTAGGATACTTCTTTTCTCTTTTTAAAGACTTAATTGTTTTTTACTTTATGTATATTCCAGTTTTGCCTGCACATGTGTATGTACACCACATGCATGCAGTGCCTGTGGAGGCCAGAGGAGGGCACTGGATTCCCAGAAACTGGAGTTACCAATGGTTGTGAGCCACTGTGTAGGTTCTAGGAACCAAACTTGAGTCCTCTTTCAGACAGGGTCTTACTGTAGCCCTAGCTGGCCTGAAATAAATTCACAGAGATCCACCTATCTCTGCCTCCTGAGTGCTGAGATTAACAGCATACATGCACCACCACAGCTGGCTAATGGGGGATGTCCCTCTGTATATATGTTTCTCTTATTGGTTGATGAATAAAAAACTGTCTGACTAATGAGGTAGGAAGATAGGCGGGACTAGGAGATGAGGAGAATTCTGGGAAAGGGAGGTAGAGAAAGCCTGCCAGAGAGAAATGACATGTAGCGACCAAAGGAGTAAGAGGTCCAAACCCTTCTCAGGTAAGATAAGACCACGTGGAAATACTTAGATTAATAGAAATGGGTTAATAATTAAGACAGAGCTAGCCAATAAGAGCTAGCCAATAAGAAGCCCTAGCTTTCAGCCAACAGTTTAATAATATAGCATCTGTGTGCTCATTTGGGGCTGAAGTGGAGGGACCTGGTGAGACAAGAGAACTTTTATCAACAGCTGGCCCTGCATCTTTCATCATCTTTGAAGATGCTAATGTCAGCATCCTTTTTTGGCAAGCCATTTTGAACATGGACAACCCAAAGCCACACAGCATAAAGGGGTAAAGAAATTCAAACCAAAGTCTCTAGATTCCAAACTCTGCACTCCCATGGCCAACTAAGTCAAAAGAAAATAATTAAAGAGTCCATTGTTTGACAACATCAACAGTCACTTGCTAAGGATTTGGGGATGTTTTTAGGCACTGCAGTAGTTGGGGTGGTTTATAGCTTTTCCCCCTAGCACAGTAATCAGAAGCTAGGAAGTTCCATGGTGTCTAGCCATTGGTGAAAGATTTTAATAGACAAGTTAGATGAGGGGGAATTCAGCAAACTTGAACACTTGACTTGGGTAGATACTGTTCACTACCACTAGAGAGCAAGTTAGTACTGCCAGAAGGTCCTAGTGGATTCTCCAGATGATATCACTGGTGTCCATTCATTTTTGCTTCTTCCTGGCCACATAGATGGAATGTACTGTTAATCCTGGAAATTTACAAAGAGTATTTATGAGAGTGATTTCAGTGGAATTTCTATCTTGTTTTCTTACCACAAAAACATATAGTGAACAATAAAACTCAATAGGATAAAACTGGTTGAGTTTCCCTGATGGGTGTGAACTAATGGAGTTACCTGACTCCATGTATAAGACCTGCTAATAAAGAACATGGTGAGAGCAGAGGAAAATCTTGGCTGAGATTTTTCCACTCAGTCTGGAAATAAATGTATTGTCCTGTAACTGTGTAGCTGTGCAGATAAGAACTTCTATGCCTCTGTGCACAGTTGGCATTTGTACCACCTGGCCCATGTTCAGGAGGTGCAAGATTCTCCCCCTTCCATCTGTATGGCCAAAGGCAAAGATGCCCACATCCCCCAACTCCTCCAAAGAAATGGAGTTAGTGGTGTTTATCCTCCCTAGTTTCCTGTGGTAAAGATGAAATGACCTGAGGAGGGGGCCCTCGACACACAGGACCTTGACACGCCACACAGACTGCAGTGTAATCCCCCAAAAGGCTGCAGTCACAGATGATGAAGAGTATCTACCCAAGACTATTTGTATCATAAAACCTTTAACGTTCTTCATAAAGGAAGTGGAAAAAAGCATAGAGTCCTGATCCTTTGGGCAGTTGCTGATATAATTATGCTAGAAATAGATGATTTCATGTTCTGGATTTAGGAGAACTTACTGCTTTTAGTTTTAGCACTAATTACTATATGTTTGTGTGGTGGGGAGAAAAAGCTATCCTTCATTTGACAGTTAATAACATAGTTTTGCTATTTCTAAATTGCATGCTATGTTCTCACTCTTTTTTTGAGACAGGGTTTCTCTGTGTAACAGTCCTGGCTATCTTGGAACTCACTCTGTAGGCCAGGCTGGCCTTGAACTCAAATAGATTTGTCTGCCTCTGCCTCCAGAGTGCTGGGGTTAAAAGTGTGCACCACCATGCCCAGTATTGCATGCAATGTTCTTTATAATTTAGGCCTTTTTGTTTCTTTGGTACAGTTTGAAGTACACTAAAGTCCCACAAGATTGCTCATTCACAGTCACAGCATAACCTTGCCCAGCAATGCTCCTCTGTGGATTGTTGTGGGGGGGGGGAACTTTCACAGTAGGAGCCCTAGGGAGTTTCAGGGGTTTTTGGCTTTTTGTTGTTTAGGTCAGTGAAGGGCATAGAGGGAAATAAAATTCCAAAATTCCATTTCCTTGTTGGCAGGCTTTGGCCCACATTTGTAAGTGACTAAACGAGAGTGTTGAATTTTCACATTGTTCAAATGAACTGCCAGGTCTGAAAGTTTTGGGGTCTAAAATCAGAGGTGGACAGAACCCTGAACAGATTTTGTAAGACTGGAGAAATGGGGATAGCTTGACAGCAATAGCAACATTGCTATGGACTTGTGTAGGGGTACAGAAGGAAGTGTGTGAATATCTGAGACATCCATGACATAGACAGTCTTACTAACCCCAGAACTGTGGCTGTAGTCCAGTTCTCACACAGTCCCTGGTTCTGTTTTCCCATCATGTGGTTCTAGCGTGCCATTCTAGATTCATTTCAGCTCTTCCATAATGCATCTACTTCTAGTTCTCCCTAAAATGTTAAAAAGAGAGCTGTGTTAGAAACATCCATTCCATAAATTGATTTTTTAAAAAATCCTTGTTGTGGAATATTTGTTTATACTATGAAGATGTGTCTTTGCCAAGGAGCCTTCTGATTGGTTTAATAAAGAGCTGAATGGCCAATAGGCAGGAAGAGGTTAGGTGGGACTTCCTGGAACAGAGAGGACTCTGGGAAGAAGAAAGGCAGAGACTCGAGGAGATGCAGAACAAGCAGGATGTACAGGAGGAGAGGTAGTAGCCGTGAATCACATGGCAGAACATAGATTAATATAAATGGGTTATTTTAAGCTATAAGAACTATTTAGAGTCGGGCGGTGGTGGCACACACTTTTAATCTCAGCACTCGGGAGGCAGAGATAGGAGAATCTCTGCAAGTTTGAGGCTAGCCCAGTCTACAGAGTGAGTTCCAGGACAGCCAGAGCTACACAGAGAAACTCGTCTTGAAAAAAACAAACACAAAACAAAGCTATTTAGAAAGAATCTTAAGCTAAAAGCCGAGCTTTCATAATTAAAAAAGTCTAAGTGTCATTATTTGGGAGCTGGCTGGTGGGACAGAGAAAGACTCGTTGCAAAACCTTGTTCTAGAAAATAGGCTGATTGACACATTACCTCCATCCAGTATATTTCATGAGGCTCAAGCAACACTGTAATATTACTAAGGCTTTGCAAACCAGAAGGAAGGAATATGAAGAAATCCAAGCTTACAATCATTAATGGCAGGTTTTTGGTTGATTGGTTTTTTTTGTTGTTGTTGTTGTTTGTTAGTTTGTCTTTGGCCTTTTTTTTTTTTTTTTTTTTTTTTTGTCTTTTTCTTTTTTGAGAGAGGGTTTCCTCTATATATTCCTGGCTGTCCTGGAACTTGTTTTGTTGACCAGGCTGACCTGTAACTCAGAAATCCATCTGCCTGCCTCTGCCTCCCAAGTGGTGGGATTAAAGACGTGCACTACTATGTCTGACTTCTGATGACAGTTTTGTTGCGTGTCCCTGTCTAAGGCCACTGTGGGTTTTAAGTGTTATAACTTCTCTGACTGAGTCAAATGTGAATATCCTAATTAGAGTTTAGCCTAGTGCTTCTGCCTTCATTGCTGGCTTTCAGTTCTCTTCTGTTCTTTGTCATTTGTGGAGCATGAGAACTAATTATAGAATTAATGGGTCTTGAGATGTCCTTTCAGTGTGCCCTAGAAAATGCATGATTACAACTCTAAATATCTGTTACATCTCAAATCTTCGTCACTTTCTCTTCTAAAGTGTAAAGGGAATAATTTGGTGTTCTCTTCTGCTTTTTTCACTTTCCCCTTTGGTTGTGAGCCTTAACATCCATCAGGTTGGTCCCTTTAACACAAGGAACTCATGCATCCTTACTGTCCCATGAGAAGCTGTCTTCCAGTCCAACAAAAGGATGCTGAAGCCTCTATCTCTGAGCTGACCTGGCTTATAGTTGTTAAACATCTTTCATGGGGTTTATGTTGTTTTTGAGACAGGGTCTTAATATGTAGCCCTGGCTGGCCTGCCTCAATACATAGACCAGGCCTCCAATCCTCAGAGATCCACTTACCTCTGCCTCCTGTAACTGGGACTAAAGGTATGCACTACTACACCCAATCTATATCTCTGATATTATATGAAAAGATATTTAGTTTTATAACTTTAAGACATATTCTAGAAGCAAAGCAAGTTGTAGTAAAGTTAATCATAAGTTTTACATTTCACCTTGTGGCAAAAAGTTTTTCTCTGGTTAGAACCTTTTCATTCACTAATCATTTCAAATCATAGCACTTAAAAAAAAACATTTGAGTTTGTGTGAAATCTTATCCCAGAATGAAAGAGGCATTAGCTCATGTCACCAACTGCTGCTGATTAAATGGTATTTCAAGGAAAGTCCCTTTCAAATGGTAGACAGACCCTTATGGACAGGATGTGATGAGCTTGGATGATTAAGCGATCAGATTGAGAGTATAGGTTCTGGAGTTCTACATGCCAGGCCAGCCACTCTCCTCAGGCCTGTCTATGGTCTCTGGTGTCTTGGGGTTCTTCATTTAGCCTCCAGAAGCTTTGACTGTGTATTTGTTTAAAAGACTGATACCCCCATCTCATAGGGCTAAGATTCAATGAGGTAATGCTGTCCAGTACAAATCATTGACAACATGAAGGTCCCACCACAAAGAAATAATAAACACTCCCACCAACACAATTTCTACTTGAACAGAAACCATGGTGAGGTTCAATTCTGGAGGATGCCTGCCTGTGGATATGGTGTCTTGTTTTGGAAGACATCATTCAGGCAAAGAAAAAAATTGAATTATATTCATTTCGCCATGATCCATTTATTTAACATAGAGTCACATCACCTCTGGGCATCTCAGCTTTATTCTCTGGTTACACGAAAAGTCTGACATGTCCATCTAAAATGGTTGTAACCATTCCAGACCATCTGGGCAGGTTGATTTATTTATTTTACTGTATGTGTCTGAATCCAAGAATCTAAATAAGTTTACCTGGGTCCTTTAGGGTTAACAATAAGAACTTACTTCATAAGGAAGTTGGCCTAAAGCTGGCTGCAAGAGGAAGCCGTAGTCCAGACACTTGCTTCTGACCATCCAGTGAAGAGCTTGGACATGCCAGAGCCCAGACTCCCAGGACAACGCTGGGGGTCACAATGTGCTTGGTCATCTCTGTCCTTCCTCTGCCACCAACTAACGGCCCCCCTCACAGTGCCCCCTGCCCCCTAACAAACTTGATTCATCACTCCTTACCGTGTCTTCCATGCCTCTTGTTAGTGCGTGCATGATAGTTAAAAGACGCTGACTTATCAGAACTCATCAATCCCCACTCTTAATTAAAAGTAACAATCAAAATAAAGAGACAGCTGAACATTCTTTCAGACCTGGCTCCCCGGCTTGCAAAGGAGAAAGCATTTATTGGAACCTTAAGTAGGGAATGATTGATTCAAAACACTTCTAAAGTCACTGGCCATGGGGACTGCCCTCTCCTGTTTTCCCATTGACATCGTGGCAGTGCCTCCACAGCCACGTCCTGAGTGCTCAAAAAGCTGAATTAGAAATACCACATATTGCAGCCCTCTTCATTATCTAGAGTCTTGATGGCACAAAGAGTGGACATGATTAAGTGGATGCTTCCAACGGTTAGGGAATCATTGGGGTGGGGGGGATGGAGACAGGAGTTTTCTGGCTAAAAACTTTGAGCATGCTTGTAGTCTTCTTTTCAGATTCACTTATTATATTTTATGTGTAAGAAGTATTCTGCTTACATGTATGTATGTGCACCACATATGTGTCTGGTGTTCACGGAGCCAGAAGAAGGCATCAGAATCCCTGGAACTGGAATTACAGATGGTTTTGAGCCACCATTGGATGCTGGGAACTGAACTCAGATCCTCTGCAAGAGCAACAAGTGCTCTTAACCACTGAGCCAACTCTCTAGGCCCTTGTTTTTAGTCTTCTTGATTTGTAGATTAAGAACAGAAATGCCTTAATTTCTTAGAGGAGCTGAGAGACCACACATAAGGTGTCCACCATGTTGTTTAACCACTAAGAAAATGTTAAGACCCTTCTCCAAGAGCAGTCACTTGTGGGAATGCTCACTCAGGAAAGTGGCTGGTCCTCATATGGCATAATCTTTATCTTCAGCCAGCACATCTAACTCATCTAGAACCCTCAGAACAACACCACAGTCCTGCAGCTCATGACCACAGACCAGGATCTCTAAGTAACTGGATCAACTTTTGTGTATTTGTTTGTAATTTGAAGTGTGAAAGGGTAGCTTTACTTTTTTTTTTAATTACCTATTCGTGGAACGGTGGCTTCAATGTAAGACCGCTCAGCAGTGTGTCCATATGTTTCTAATGTTTTCCTTTAAAGGAAAAGGGGGATGGTTTTAAGCTGTCTAATTTTTCAGCCCATTATTATAGTAGACGTTATTTCATTTGAAAAGTACTTCAAGTTCACATCAACTTGACAACTGTCTAGGGACAGTTCTGTTAAATCCCAGTGTGAAAATGCCAGTTTAGGTCTTCATTGTTGTAGACTGAGAATGCATGATCTATAAGCACGCGCACGCGCGCGCGCGCGCGCACGCACACACACACACACACACACACACACACACACACACACACACACACGCGCGCGCGCGCGCAGCTATCTTAGCTTCTCAGCTTCCTGTCTCCTTCAAGACCCCCGGGGGGCTGCATGCCACGCCCTTTGTACATAGACAAGAAACCTTTCCTGTCCTTGCACACTTCACATGCCCACACAAATGCCTCCTGTGACCCGCTGACACCCATGCTCTCAGGGCACCCAAACAAGGAAAGGCCTGGGCCTCACCTGTTCCTCTCACAGACGTGGGGTGGGACGTGCGGTCCCACACCTCGGCTTCAGGTCTGTGATTGTTATGCTAGCAGGCTGAGATAAGCCTAAAACCCTACAAGGAGTCGGATGTCATGGGCTCCGGTCTCCTGAGGACCTGCCTTCCTGTTATTTTTCTGTTCGTGCTGGGGCTCCACAAGCAGAGAGCTTGCTGGTGGCTACCACCCCTGCCTGCAATGCCCTCTTTAAAGGCTACGTGAAGGAATAGCTGAATCACTCCTGCCCTCCAAGTTGCTTAGGGCTGTTCCAAAAGATCTCTGTCCTCTAGCTGAACTTTGTCTCTTTACAGACGGTCAGCACCTTGGTGGTGGCTGACTCGAGAACTTCTGGAATCTACAGTTGCGAGGCCTTCAATAAAATAGGAACTGTGGAAAGGAACATAAAATTTTACGTCACAGGTAAGCTACATTGACTCCACCCACAGAGAGACTTGGTGGCCTCTGTCTCTTTGCTTTTAATGCTCTTGGTGATTTTTTTTAACACTCTGTAGACACGTCAAGCTGCGAGGACCTCCATTCTTGATCTGAGGAGTAGAATTCCACAACACCGTTGACTTCTGTAAAGAGCCACTTCCCTGAATTCTCTCTCAGTTGTGTCTGTGTCTCTTTCCCACACTGGATTCTAAATTTGGGAATCTATATGCTCGCTTTTCACCCCCTTCAGGACCCACCTCCAGAAAAGACAAGTTCACCCCCAACCCCCATGGTGTTAGAGGGTTTGTTGTTGTTTTTTATCTTTTACTCTTTTGTTTTCTGGGTTTTGGTTTTTTTGGGGGTTATTTTGAGGGGGTTGTTTTTGGTTTGTGGGTTTTTGTTTTGTTTTTTTTTTTACTTAAAAGTTCGTAGTTGAAGTCGTTCAGACCTTTGGGGGACTGAGACTCTCCTGTCAAAATCTGAAACTGAACTTTGTTCCTCGTAATTAATAGGCTATTTTTTTTGAGCATTTAGGGATTTTTAATTTTAAACCTGATGGGCTCTGCAAATCTCAAAACCTGCAAGGTACACGAGTGGCACTCCCTGTGTTCCTCCACGGGTTCAGGAAGGAAATAAGTAACTCAAAGTCTAAAAACAATTGCCTGGCTCCACGTTCCCCCAATTTCGGAGGAAACCCAGGCAGTCTGCCAACACTCTGGAAACTTCACAGTGCATGGAGCAAGCTGCTGCTGACATTGCCTAGAAGTCTCCAGAAAGAACAAGCAGGACTAATTTCATGACACAGTTTGAGTTGTTAGGTGATAGGAGTCTTTGGCCAGTGAGCCAAGCACGAAAGCATCTGGGCCATGAAGACATCCTGAAGGTCGCTCTCATAGGTCAGACCTGAAGGTCATTCTCATAGGTCAGACCTGGACAGTGGCCCTGCATTTTCTGGAGAGGGGAGATCGCCACAGCAAAGCGCCCCTAGACTGAAGCTTTGTCCCTGCCTTCTCACCTACAGGAACAAAAAGGAGTGTATCTTTTGTGTCCACTTCCAGCAGAAAAACGCTGGGGATGGATTCTCACAGAGATTTCACTCAAATTAGTCCAAGATTAAATCCAGGTGCTTTGAACTAATTAAATACAAAAGTTTGCATTGTTCTTATTTAGTTGGAAACAGGTTTTTACAATCTGAATCCATGGTCAAAGCATGTGTGGTTTGGAAGATGAAAGCTGGGACAATGCCTTCTATTTTGAACTTTCAACACATCTGTGTTGAACACATCTGTGTTGAATGGTCCACTAGCTTGCAACAGTTGATGGCAAACACTGCGGAGTAGCACACGTCAGCTCTCATGACAGCATGGGCCCAGGTCCCCCAGAAAAAATATGAGAGCATGTATCAATCACCTTGCGCATGTCCTGGGATCAGTATATATCATCTGTAGCGGTAATGTGGTGCTTGGATTTGCTCTTTGGTACCGCTGCTGTCCAATAGATGGAAGCGCTATGTAACTTACACTTTTCTGGGGTCTATAGAGATGGCTTAGTGATTAAGAGTGCTTGACACTTCTGCTGCTGCAGAAGGGTTTGGTTCCCAGCCCACATCAGGCAGCCCACAATTGCCTGAAACTCCAGTTCCAGGTAATTCCATGCCCTCTTTCTGGCCTCCATGGCAACTGCACAGACTTGTGCATAATATACACATGAAACAAAGAGAAATCTTTAAAATTTTTTCTAGTGTTCATTTATTTTATAGAATAATGTTTTAGAGGCTGGGCGATGGTAGCACATACCTTTAATCTCAGCACTTGGGAGGCAGAGGTGGGTGGATCTCTGAGTTGGAGGCCAGCCTGATCTACAGAGCAAGTTCCAAGACAGCCAGGGATTAGCTGAGAAACCCTGCACCAAAACACCACCCCCATTTAAAATAAAAAAGAATAGCATTTTATTTAAGTCAGTATATCTAAAATACTATATTATAATTTTAATATGTAGTCAACATTTAAGGGACAATTTTCCTGGTGATTATTGGACCTAAGATCTCATGCAGAAGTTTTACCACTGAGCTATGCCCACAGTCCTGTGCTCAACAGAAAAACTAAAGAACACATGCACACACACAATGAGGCACACACACATGCATGCATACACTCACAGACACACACACACATGCATGCATGCATACACTCACACACACATATGCATATGATGCATTCTTACACACACATGCACGCACTCGGGCCCCACTGCTCTGCTTTAATTTTAATCGATTTAAAATAAATGAGATAAAATTCAGACCTTCACTCACACAAACCACGAGCCAGTGGTTCAAAGCCATGTGTGGCTAAAAGGGTCCTTCCTGTGCTGTGCTGTTGGCCCTGACCCTCCCATAAGGAAGCAGAGTGAGAGAGGGCAATGATCTGGGTAAGAATGTGAACAGATGGGGGAAGAGGCTGGGCTCACCCCTGAGTGTTCAAAGCCGAGGGACAGTGAGTGCCACTGGGGCTACTACCCCAGCTACTGATTAATCTAAAATCATTCCACAACCTTTCCATATGTTCCGACTTCTTGGAGACAACTCTACCTTCATCTGGACCTCAAGGCCTGGCTAGGCTTGGAGTCCTGGGGCTGTTCAGGGCTGCTCAGCAGCCTGTAGCCATACCTGGCTTGCCTCTCACTCTATCTATCCCTGTGGGCAGGAGCCATGCACACATCCATGCCCACATCTGCTCTCCTACCTTCGCCCACCCCCTGACCTCTCACTGAGTCTTTTCTTAGGCCACTTCCTGTGTGCTGACCTAGCGGTGAGCACACTTAGCGGTGAGCACGCTGAGGAGGCCTGCCCTCTAGCAAAGAAAGAGACTGAGCCAGTCCAGAGACACACTTGGGAACCATCTGTCTTTTTCTGGGAATTTTGGAACCGCAAGGCCCTTGAGCGTTATCTAGATAGAGTGACACAGGCTCAGGGAAGGCACACTCCTTTGGCCCATAGATGTTTCACATTATAAGGAGGGTCCAACTAAACAGACCACCCAGAGACCCAAGGAGGGATGGATTGATTCCTCTCACTTACACTGGAGTGTTTGTTCTGGGAGAGGACGCACCTGCTGGGAGCCTACAGCACTTGTGGAAACACACAAACTTTAACTCAAGCCTGAAACAGCTCGCAATGTAGGCCTTGTTGTCTGGTATTTCCTTTTTCCCTCTAACTCTCCTCTATCAGCCCTGGAAAGTGTACATGTGGGTTGACGAGAGGTTGAACTGCCAATTCACTACTGGCTTTTAGCCAATTATTATATTTTTCATATCAAATCTTTGCTCCAGATTTTTTAATTTTAAGACAGGTCTTATTATGTATCCTCAGTTGCCCAGGAACTCCTATGTAAAGCAGACTGGCCTTAAACTTACATAGTGACCTCAGTGGTAGAGTCCCCTCCCCTTAATATCATGTAGGTGGCAGTGAGTTCAATCCCTGGGATCCGCCACCCCTAAACTTTTAATGCTGTGAAGATCAATTTGGCACTTTAGTGGTTCTCATTTTAATTAAATCCCTATTCTTTTTTTTTTTTTTTTTTTTTTTTTTTTTGGTTTTTCGAGACAGGGTTTCTGTGGCTTTGAAGGTTGTCCTGGAACTCCCTCTGTAGACCAGGCTGGCCTCAAACTCAAAGAGATCTGCCTACCTCTGCCTCCTGAGTGCTGGGATTAAAGGCATGCATCATCAATGCCCAACGCATCCCTATTCTTAAAACAAAAACATAGTAATTTCTCCTTCTTCCTGGGGAAGCAGCTAACTACAGTCATTGGCATCCTTGGCTGTGTCCTCTCCTGATCCTGGCACTTGTACCTGGTACTAAGCAAAGCTCTTTCAGGGAATATGACTGCCAGTTTGCAGTGGGAGTAAAATGTTCAAGGTTCCAAATGAGATCACACCCATCCTTGTCAGTTTCTATGTGGGTCACCCCATTAAGGAGAACCTCCCCCCCACAGCTGCCCATTTGTACTCAAGCATGCTCTACCTACAGAAGATTGTCTGCGTCTCCAGAGGGAGGCCAGCTTCTCTCCTGGACCCCTCAGGGGATGTGGGTGAGCCCCACACAGATGAGGAGTGTTATTTGGTATTAATGACAGTTGTTTTAGGGAGGAATCATCTCTTGTTCTCATTGGCAGAGCTGGAGAACAGCCCTTTCTTAGGTCCATTTATATACTCATTCTTTAAAAAAATAAGGAGAAAATCCTATTTTGTTTGTCTAAAGTCTTCTGTGGATTGAAAGCAAATACTGTAGGGGGTTACATTGAGAAACACAATTATAAGGGCTGTCTGATGGCTTCGGTAACTGTATTTCCACACACCCCCCCCCCCAGAAACAGGCTTGTAAGATAGATCTGGGTTTTTGTTTGTTTGTTTGTTTCTAGTTGTTGTTTGTTTTTTCTCTCCTTCTTGTGAATTTTGTGTGCTATTTTTTTGGGGGGGTGTCTGGCACCCGGTGTGAATTTTGGTGTGTGAGCCATCACCAAGGGTGAAACCGGAACAATGTCTTATCTCCCTCGTTTCCCAATGTCACTAAATGCATTTTATTTTGAGATTCCTGGTGGTGCTTGGCAAAGATAAACAAAATCTTCCATCAGGAAACCTGTGAGCTATTTCCACAGGAAGTTTCAAATCACTAAAGTAAATAGAGACTCCGTACATGACCTCAGTGGTGTGACCGGGATCCCTGGGTGCCAACCCACCAGGATGAATCTGGAGTGATGGAGAAGGGCTCTGGTTTTAGGAAATCGCCGGCCAACAGCCTGTGTGCAGCCCTCTCTCCTCATATATGTGTGGATAGTGACAGCAAATATGTCGTTCTCAGATTGCTGCTGTGTCCTCTGTCACATCCTCTGATTTTCATTTTCAACCGAGAGTGTCTCCCCTCTACTCCTTACTGCTCAGCCGCCACCACCTCATAAGCTGCGGTTACCCCCTGCTTCCAGGTTTCAAATGAATACTTTGGCATTTCTTCAGACGAGACATTTTATAATACAGCCAAAGCCAGAAAAATCAGAAAAACAAGCAAAGTGAGATTTAGGAAAGAGCTGATACGATGTCTAATTTTGGACTATTGTCCCCTTAAGGTTTAAAGGTCTCTTTATAGCTTTGTGTACAGAGGATAATAATAACAACAGACAACAGCTCTTTTCATCTTCAAAGCTCTTTGTAAAATGTTGGCCCAAATTCTTTGCTCAAATATAGATACATCACCAGTAACAAGTGGGGGGTATTAAGAATAAGTCAGTTCAATGCCATGATTTTTAAAACCCTCCAATGAATATTCTAGAATGGCACTGAGGGGGCTGTACCCCTAAACTCAAATGATAGTTCTAGAAGGACTACTGAAAGGTAGGGTGCACAGGCTGGTGTGGAATGGGGAGGGGCTTAGGAGATGTAGAAAAAAGGTTGGAAACTAATCCTAAACAGAATGACTCTTGTTGACGCCATTACCTTCAAAACTATTAGTTATTGTTTTTGAGACTGTCTCAAGCAGCCCAGGTCCTCTTCAAACTTCCTATATAACTGAGGATGGCCTTGTACTCCCGGTTCTCCTGCTTCTATCTCCCAAGTGCTGGGATGACAGGTGTGCACCTCCATGACCCACCCCTTTTTTTCTTTAGAATAGATATGACCTCCCAGCCTTGCAGTGCTGGGCATTAAACCCAGGAGCTCGTGAACACTAACTAGACAGACTCTCTGCCTCTGAGATATGCTCCCAGCCCTAAATTTGACTTTTAAAACTATTGAGCATGTTTGGAATCTGGAGATTGGTCCAGATTTGCCTACATCTTCCAAAGAAAACTCGTTGCCTTTTGTATATGAGTACAACCCTTCCACTAGAAGAGCCTGAGTGGGTGAATACCCTGGTTGTCCTCTGGCCCCCTGGACTAGTAGAGAGCCCTGGAGGCATTCAGAAACAGAGGGAGGAGGCCACTGTGAAGTGAGGGCCGTCCCTGGAGGACTGGCATTGACTGGCTCTGACCAGCCTTTCCATGCTCAGTTGAAAAGTTTCTGTTTGGAACTAACTTGCCTGTACACGGACCTACAAAATGCTCTTAGGTTATTTTATTATTTTACTCTCCTCAAATGTCAGCTTACCAGGACTGTGTGTGGTAAAGAGATGAAGAAAGAGGTTAGGAAAAACCCTTTTCACCACGAAGAGCAACTGGGGACAAATAAGAAAATGTTATCTTCCCCAAACTGCCCTGGTTTTGCATTTCCTGTGTCACTAGGGATGGGCTCAACTCCACAGGTTCTCCCTGCTTGGTTTGATCATCACTTCCGCTAACACAAAAAGACAGAACCCTTGTCCTGGCTCGTGCTCATGCTTAGAGGATCTGTGGGGGAATGAATCGTTCTTGCTGTGTCTGAGTATCTCCTTGAGAGACGGTGGTCTGAAGTTCTTCATTCTTATTTTATAGATGTACCGAATGGCTTTCACGTTTCCTTGGAAAAGATGCCAACAGAAGGAGAGGACCTGAAACTCTCCTGCATGGTCAACAAGTTCCTGTACAGAGACATTACCTGGATTCTGCTACGGACAGTTAATAACCGGACCATGCACCACAGCATCAGCAAGCAAAAAATGGCCACCACTCAAGAGTACTCCATCACCCTGAACCTTGTCATCAAGAACGTGTCCCTGGAAGACTCGGGCACCTATGCCTGCAGAGCCAGGAACATATACACAGGGGAAGAAATCCTTCGGAAGACAGAAGTTCTCATTAGAGGTGAGCACTGCAACAAAAAGGCTATTTTCTCTCGGATCTCCAAATTTAAAAGCAGGAGGAATGATTGTACCACACAAAGTAATGTCAAACATTAAAGGACTCATTGAAAAGTAACAGTTGTCTCCTATCATCTTGGTTTATTGTTACTGTTGCTAACTTTCAGGCCCAGAGGAGATGTTCCTCTCAAAATGAGTTTGGACTTGACAGTGTAATAAGGATCCCCAGTGCCTGCTGGCCCAGGGTGCTCTCTGGGTCACCTGGTGTATGTTTGGATGAAGATCCCTGTACTCTGCCTTCCCTTGTGTTTGCTCTTCTGTCTTCTCCTGCCTGATAGACAGCAACCTGGGACTCACCTTTTATTCCACTCTGATGCCAACCTCTTTTGATATTTTTTTAAGTCGTGAAGCTACACAAACTGAATAATTTAAGCAAATGCTGGTTTCTGCCAAAGATGGACATGAATAAGTTAATTTTTCAGCACAGGATGAGTACAGTTTCATTTTGAGTCTTTGTTTGGTGTCTACCTGGTTTTATTTTTAACTGTTTCATTTGCTCTTGACTTGTAAATAGTACCTGGATAACAAGTTATAATGCTTATTTATTTGAAAGTATTTTTTTTACATGAAGTATATTGATCTTAAACTGGGGGTTCTAAGATGGGTTCCCAGGGGCGCAAAATGTTGATGTAATTCCAAGAGCAAAGCTTTGTCTCAATATGATGTATGAATGTCCACAAGTCAGCTCCACCCTCCTCTGTCCATTCCAGGTAATTACACAGTTACATCCCCACTAGGAAGTCCAGCAATTAGGCACTGCTCCTCACTGCCCTGGACTGGACCAACAACCCCTGACAGTCAGTGAAAGTACAGCAAGCCTTCACTCTCAATACTCATGGCCCCTGGGCACTGTTTTATAGCCCTTAATCATGCTTCCATGGCATTCACAGGTGTCCACAATCCATGTATCCAGGAAATATTGTGACTAGAGATTGCATGCAACCTTCTTAATATCTATTAGAAAAATCTATCCATTAAAAAAGAAAAGGCCACCTTCTCTATATATGCAAATGTTAGTAGGATGTTTATGGGGTTAAGAAATTGCAAAAGTACAAAAACAGCATTGCAATTATTTAGATGCGTGCTTTTTTGAAATATCAAGAGCAATTACATTTTCAACTTGCATTTGAAGGAAAGGTACTTTTAATATGCATTGTTCTGTTTCCATGTATGATTGATCTTTGTATGTGAACTATAGGGGTTGGGGAAGCCAGCAATAATGACCAAAATAGCATGGCTGAGAAACACCATGGCTGGGCAGTTCAATAGGAGGTGACAATATGACAACTCCTCAACCTTGGGAACTCACCAGCCTGTTTCCTCCTTTAGGTAACAGACTGGGTCCCATGGCTAAACTTGTCTTTCACGTGGGAATTGCTTTTGTCGAGTGTGAAAGAGTAAACAATAGCATTTCCCCCAAATGCCGGTTTTATGGAGCCCCAAACGCTGTGAAAACAATCAGTAGCCTGGAAGTTGTCAGCCCAGACGAAAGAATAATCAATTGTGTCTTGAAGTTTTACCTATGGCTCTTTGGCCTGGCTTCTTTGTTCGTTCTGAGGCAATGTGTTCCTTCAGGAAACAAAACCTCAGCACCGTTAAGAAGACTTTGGGGGCTCAGCTTTTAAGAAAGCTTTAAAAAAAAAAAAGGAATGGTGGATTTAGGGAGCCTTCTCAGAAAAACTGAACTGAACATGCAAAGCCTTCCAACTCCTTCCCCAGGAGGATGGGGAGGTATGTATTCCAGGAGACAATTTTAAGAATTCCATTCATTGTTTGTTGTATAATTAATCCTAATCCTTCCAGAAGATTCTTTTAAGAAAAGAAACTATTGTATAGTTTTTTTTTTCTGGTCCTTTTTTGGGGTATGAAGAGAGAGGAGGGTGAGAGAGAGAGAGAGAGCCTAGAGATAAGACTAGCTGAAGAGTAGGGGTAATGAGGCTGGCTCCTCAGCCCTTCCAAAAATGGAGAAAAGAAACCATATCTTTTGAAACTTAAGACCTTGCCAGCAACCCGGGGTCATACCTAAAAAGGAAAAGAACCCCCTTGTGGGCAGTTGTCTTTGGCTACTGATAACCAGCAAAATATTCTGTTAATTCAGATTATTTTAGTAGAGGGATCAGGTTTCTATTTCTAACAACTATGTATGGGTTCCATGTATCTTTCTAATTTAAAATGTCAAAATACATTGTTACAAAGCATGAGTAGAATTAACAAAGTATGACTCTTAGGTTGAAGAGTCCTGTAGACAGTAGCCAAAACTGAGACACTTCGCATATAGAAAACATTTTTCATAGATAAATCCTAATACTGTGTGCTTCATAAGGTATGCGTGAACATTGTATTTAAATCGAGAGTTCTGTGTTAATTCCACAGCTTTTTATGCTGCTTGTGTGAAGTTTGTATGGAACAAATAGGCCCTTTGGGTGTTCCTTGCAATGCTTTTTGTTAAAACAAACATTCTCTTCTAAGTACATCTGTCAGGGAAACTCAAAGCCTCTTTGTACAGATGAAATTATAAACCGGAGCTGTAAAAGTAACTGATGTTTTATAGGCCCTGTATTCAAACTTCCTTTAAGGCCTATGAGCAGTGATAGTGTTTTGTCATAATTAACACATTGGTAATAGTAAAAAGTGTTGAAGGAAGCTTGGAAACTCAATGGACTGGGTCTGAGTTTGAGCTTACATCTGTCCAAGTTAAATAAACACTAATTAGTCATGTGTTCTTTCTTATCTTGTCATATCTCACTGATGTTTTGTAACAATGTCAACATTGTAACGAGCAAGTGTGCACAAGTTATCATATATTGAAAGTTTTTTGGGCTGCATTTTCAATCGAGAAAAGCTGACAGATTGTATAGAACGGGGATGGGTCTGCCTAGAAGAGTAAGCTAAGTGAGGAGAGACCCTGAACAAGGCAGGAATAAGACCATTCTCACATAGCCTACTCTGGAAGAGGTTTTTAATCAGTCAGCACCTCCTTCAACACTCTTGCCTTCGGATTTCATTTTCTGTAAAGCAAGAAGACTAATGATAAGCTATGGAACCCCAAACACTTGAGAACTCTCCTCATAGATAGTAACCCTGCCACGTTATTGCCACTTCCCCGTGTTGTGTGATGATATACTTCTTAACCTGGGATTTCAAAATGGCCTTAACGAATGCTGACCCTGAGAGTTTTCCTGCAGGGACTTAAAGAGAAAGGTGTGGGGACGCAGCAGACTTCTGCAGGGGACACGGAACCCAGGCCACAGCGTCACTTTGTAGTAACCATTCCTAAGCTGCTCTCTCCCTGTGTTAATGCCCTAAGACGAGGAACCAAACCTGGTCAGAGAAAGCTCAGACCAGTGTGCAGAATATGTAAGTGATACCCAAACCCTTGGGATTTCTGTCCTAGGATTTGCAAACAAGTTGGGGAAGGAGGACCCGGGCGGGGGCTGGGAGTGGGGGACCACATTAGGAGGCATTTCTTTCTTCTCTGTTGGGCTTGAGCCCCTGATCCAATCCCTCCTCACTAGAATGTATACACATCAGCAGGACTGACCGTCTACTTCATTTACACAGAGACACTGTACTCATTTGGGGCCCTGGGGGTACTGCAGTTCCTATGTGGGATTTTAATATTATAATGTATTGCATCTTAATGTATTAAGTTCATTTTTGTTGTACTATATTGGTTGGCATTTTATTAAAATAAATTGTATTGTACCATATTTGTATGTTTTAAGAGAAAATAATATAAAATACAATACTTGTGCTATTATATAGCGCAAAACCTACAATTTGTGCCTCTGCCTCTTGAATTAACTTTGTGGTTGCTTGCATTTGGGAAGGGAATGGAGGGAGAGGAGTAACCAATAAAGCTTTGAAAATGTCAGAATTTTCCTGCTTGGTCTGCTGCCTCGACATGTAGGTTATGGAGTAACACAACCCACCCCATAAAGCTCCACCCAAAACAAGTTCAGGAACCATCGGGTTCAATTCAGAAATCAAACAAGACAAAAGATTACATTAGCCCATCACAACATGTAATAGGAATGTAAAAAAATATATTATAACCCTCTGTACATAGTGATGTTTTTCATGTTTACTTCCTGAAATGCATGAAACATGTGAGTTTTAGAAAAGATTTTCCTTGTCAAAGAAGAAGTGAGTTGGCCAGTCAAAGCCCTGGTATTAATATTTAAAAACAGGAGTCCAGCCTAGTCCTTGGCTTACCCATTCTGGCTCACTGCAATTTGTCGTCACACTTATTAAGGGAAGAAATTGCTTTAATGAGTGAAGAGAAGGGGAACACAATGCATGCTGAAGTTTTACGGTCACCTTGGGTGGTTTCTGTCTCTATTAAGATGCCAGTCTGTTTGTGCAATAGAAGTAACCACAGCACTCTCTTTCCTCACTAGATCAAGAGGCACCACACCTGCTGCAAAACCTCAGCGACCACAAGGTATCCATCAGCGGCTCCGCAACCTTAGACTGTCAAGCTAGCGGCGTCCCCCAGCCTCAGATCACTTGGTTTAAAAACAACCACAAAATACAACAAGAACCTGGTAAGATTCTCCCTCACACTTGTTCACCCCCTTTGTCTCACCCCTTTCCCTCCCAGGCTCCCTATCACCTGCCTCTCCAACACCTAGAACCTTCTGCTTAGCATGCTTGCAGACCACATTTACAGGAGCTTCCAAGAAGGAAGCCTGGAGTTGGCTCTGTGCCCCCGTGTCTCACATTAGAAGGAGCCCTTACTACATCTGCTCACCCTGAGTGTAAGCAGCTCAGTGAGAAAGAAATGGGAAGGCCACCCAGGAGGTGGCTCAATTCACCTTGACAGCTGGGAGAGTCAGGAATGAATTTCTTGACTTGAGGGATTGCATAGGCTTGTTTCGTTTTGTTAATTTTCATAATCTTACGTGTTTGAGTGTTTCATCTACATGTGTGTCTGTGTACCACTTGATTGCCTGGTGCCTATGGAGGTCAGACAGGGAGGAACTGGAACTGAAGTTACAGATGGCTATGAGCCACGTGGGTGCTGGGAATCAAACCTGGGTCCTCTGGAGGAGCAGCCAGTACTCTTAATCACTGGACTCCAGTCCCACATTGCAGTTTTAAACACCTAGTACAAATGGAGCTCAGAGAGGTAGATTTATAATTTTTAAATTCATCTGCACTCATTTTAATAATTTGGGAGGCACTATTTTATTATACTAGTTTAACAAAAAAAACTTTCTTTTTTAGGTGTGTGTGTGTGTGTGTGTGTGTGTGTGTGTGTGTGTGTGTATGTGTGCAGGGGCCAGTGGAGACCAGAAGATGGCGTTAGTTACAAGTAATTGTGAGCAATCTGATGTGGGTGCTGGGAACTCAACTCAGGTCTTCTTGAAGAGCAGCAAGTGCTCTTAATCATTGAGCCATCTCTCCAGCCCTAAAAGAAAGAAAAGAAAAAACTTTCTTTTTTGTGTGTGTGGTGGGGAGGGGAAGGATTTAGAGACAGGGTTTCTCTGTGGCTTTGGAGGCTGTCCTGGAACTAGCTCTTGTAGACCAGGCTAGTCTCGAACTCACAGAGATCCGCCTGCCTCTGGCTCCCAGGTGCTGGGATTAAAGGTGTGCACCACCACCACCCAGCTAAGAAACAACTTTCTAACTTAAGCTAATGGCTATGAGTTAGTTTCTTTCAAAAATAAAACCAGCTAGACTAAAACCAATGACTATAGAGAGTATCTCCTGCCTACTTCATGCTGTGGCTAAGTAAGATTAAACTAAACATACTTGCATTTCTGGTTGACAATTATATTTGTAGTCAAGGATAAAATTGTCACTTGTCTATCATGTACAAGGACCTGGTTCAATGCCCATAGTATAAATAAGATTGTCATTTATTCACAATATTTGACAACCTCGATCACCCATGTGGCAGTGTGGCATACTCTTGAAATGTGAGTCTTGCACTTAGAGAAAGCCTCCATGTGAGTCTGGCCTTGATGAGGCCATGGTATGACGAAGCTTCACACTATTGACAGTGTCTTAGAAAGACTTTATATTCTGCAACACAAAGCCAGCCATGTCACACCACATCTAGAAGTAGCACTTCTGTTATACAAATGCAGCACCCTGGGACCAGCTTGTCACTGCCCCCAAAGGCCTACCTCTCGCCAAAAGGAGGCAGCTTGTCTCTGAGTCTTTTTCACCCATGCTACTAAAGTTTTACTTTCCTCTTACTGAGATTATTTAAAGAGGTAATTACTTTGTGTGTGTGTGTGTGTGTGTGTGAGAGAGAGAGAGAGAGAGAGAGAGAGAGAGAGAAGCCTGTTCTATTCTCATACTGTATTGTTATTTTTAAAGTTTCATTTTTAAGTGTGTGTGTGTGTGTGTGTGTGTGTGATATAAGCCTGTTTCTCCTATTCTCATACTGTATTGTTATTTTTAAAGATTCATTTTAAGTGTGTGTGTGTGTGTGTGTGTGTGTGTGTGTGTGTGTAGGTGTATGCATGTGAGTGCAGGTGGCTGAGGAGGCCAGAGACATCAATTCTCCTGGGGCTGGAGCTACGGATTGTTGCTAGCTGCCTAGCATGGGTGCTGGGAACCGCACTCAGATCTGCAAGAACATCACATGCTCTTACTGTTGAGCCGTGCCTTCTCCTCCCTGTATTACTCTTTAACCACCAACTGATATGCAGTTCCCTTAGCAAGTGGAGAGTCTTACTTGTGTCCTACTCATCGTATTTGGTGACCAGTCAAATGCTCCAGGAATGATGACTGACTGACTTTCAAGGTTTGTACACCACCTTTGGTAGCTCATGTGGTAACCCAAACACCTGGTTTGAGGCAGGGTCTACATCATAGAGCTATCAGTGACTGAGGAGATTTTGGAGTATCCAAAATCTTAGGACAATATGGAGAATAGACAACTTGGCCCAAACAGATTAAATGACACCCAAGATGATACACTACCAAAATGCTGGTTTGTGGAAAATTCATCCCTTGAGGTATTCTGCCATTATAAAAAGATGAGTGAGTGTGTGGATAAACAAACACATAGCTCATAAAAAGGCGGCTGTAACCTCTTCCCCTATAAATTCAGAGTCCTGTGCTCCAGAAGCCTGGGAAAGTGGTTTCAACCCTGTGTTCTCCACACTCACTTGATTGGACACAGCGCATCTTCTGTGAAGTGCTGGAAGATGTGGAGTGTGTTTGAGAGAAGTGAGTCTGATTTAAATTCAGTTGTCAGACCTTGAATTTGAGTTAAAACATCAAATATGGTGGATCATGCCTGTGATCCCAACACTTGGGAGGTAGAGGCAGGCACATCGGGAGTTCAGAATTCAAAGCCAGCTTAGGCTACATAGACCCTGTCTCAAACAAAGTTCAGCCAATCCTGAAAGCCCGTGGGTGTTATGCGGCTGGAAACACACACACACACACACACACACACACACACACACACACACACACACACACGGCAGAAAGGGAGTGTAAATGCTGGGTGAGTCCACTCCGGAGACCAGGGCTTGAGGCCCCAGCATTGCCCTCAGCTTCCTGCCCTCTAAGGCCCTGTTTACTTCTGAAACTGGAATAATGTTGCCTGCACAGGACATGGTGAGGTTTCGACCATTTCACTCAGCCAAGCCACCCATGGTCACAGCTTAGTGGCCACCCCTGCCATCTGACCCTCCTCGTTTGTGCAGAAACTGGCCAATGAGTAGGAATCCACTAGACAGCATGAAGACTGAGTGAAGCACCCCAAACATCGGTCTGCCCCCCCAAAGAAGTTCTTAAATGAGTCTTCTACAAAGTTACGCTAGGTCCTTAGTAAATACCACTGTTAGCATGTTAAGTTTCACCATGCTATGCCCATGTTCTTGCTTTACTGTTTAAAGCTATGCCGGCTGGGTCACTGAGATGGCTCTGTGGGTAAAGGTGCTTGACGCAAAGCCTGATGCCCTGAGTTCAATCCCCAGAACCCATGTGGCGGAAGGAGAGGCCTGATCCCCACAAGTGACTAACTCCTACTGTAACTTTCTGGGAAGGAAGTTCACATACCCATGATGTTTCAAATGCAACCTGAGGTGCAGAAGTCAGGCTAACATACTCTGTCTTCTTGGCTCTCGTGTTCAACATCACACACAGGTAACATCAAACACGCCAACTCTACCGCGGCTGTTTCCGTTACAAACCTGTGAATAAGGACCATTGGTAACCACAGTAGCCAGCCCTGACTTGCCAGGGCTCCATGGAGTGGAAACCCTCTTCAGGACATGTTAAACCAGTGAGGCCAGACTAAGTTTGCAAACCTGAGCATGTGGCCCAGGTCACAGCTCTCACAGAAAGCATGGCAGCTCAAAAAGGGCTTGCATACCCAGAGAGTCGTGGGGGTGCTGGATCCTTGACAGGATCCGGTCCACTATCATTGTTACTTGTGAACTGACAACTCTTCAACATTCCAAAGAAAATAGGAGAAAGGAAGCTGGGCACGCATGCAAGCTCATGCCCCGGTGACCATCAAATGCTTGTTGAAAGAGCTTAGGGAAGCTGGAACTTCTGCTCCCTGCTCATTTCCTCCCAGGAAACCCCTTGCAGTGAGACACAGCCATTCTTGCAAAGGAAAGCAAAGGCAAGAAAGCTGGGTAGTAACTTCTTGGGCCAAAGGGCAGCAGGCAGGAACAAAAGGAAATCTGGAGTGTGTGGGCCCAGGAGAGCATGCACACAGGCGTGGGGGTCACCTCTGCTGCAGCAATGGAACAAGAGGAAAAGGCCTCAGCAACCCATGTCACTGACTCCCGCAACCATGGAGACTCTGCTTGATCCACGGGCATCACCACTCACTGACTGCCTCTGCCATGGGGCTCGCCTTACCCACCCTGCCTGCCTCCTCTACCCCCTGGCCTGCTTCCGTCCCTGCCTGGCAAACTCACTGTCCACCTCAAATCCTTGTCACTAGGGTGTTTCTCTTATGTCTTATGGCTAGAGGACATCCTTTCTTCGCGGGTTCTGTCCATACCTCATGCAATTACCCATTCTCTGGCTTCCTGTGTACTTGTTTTTCAGAGCTTTGAAGATAGGTATTGAGGTCTTCCCACAGTGAATGCAAATTGTTGGTCATTTGGTCAGGCAGCAAGAACCATGTCCAGCTCATTTAATGTTCATAGCCGTTACCTGAGGTGGACGCTAGTGCGAGCCGGCTCACAGGCAGCTTTTGCTTCACACACACTACTGCCCTAGGCACTTCTCTAGGGTTCGTTTGTCTCTTTCATGGCAGTTTGGAGAGGTTCACTAAGTTATTCTGCCTATTTTATAGGTCCAAGCATGAAGGAGTAGGGAGAGGGGAGAAATAACGGGACTTAGGTCATGGCACGTGGACAGCTAAGCTTGTCTCTGACATGTGCAACTAGTACAGCTAGAAATGACAGGGAAGCACCAGTTCTAAACAGCCAGGTTGGCAACAAAAACCGTTTAACAGCAATGAAGACCTCTGTATTCCTCTCAAATGTAAAGGCTTTTACAGAATTGTATTTAAAATGTGGTTTAAAAACATTGTAAAGCATATTAAAATAGACAAGGC